GAAACTTGGCTTGATAAAGAAAATGTTTTTCTGAAACCTACATCACACCAGACCGCATCTCACGATTTCTGAATAATATTACAATAATTGAAAACTGATTACAAATCAATTAAAGACTGAGGCAGGTACGCATAAAAAATAGTTTTATTCAGTACGCTCCAGGTAGTGATTTAATAGTTTGTCCCCTGTTGTTAACTTTCCCGGCAAAAAGCCGGGTAAATACCATATTAACGCAAATATGGTAACGTGATATTGGACATACTATAGATATTTCTTACGAAAATGAACTGTATGCGATTTGGTACGTTCTTGGTGCCATGCGGACTCTCCCGTCGAGCTTTTTCTAGAAAAATCCTCCGTGCTGGAGGGCCTCGGAAAAACGGTGATTGTTGTCGAGTTCCCGGTCACGTTGGCCTGGAGGGTAGCGAACGTGCGGTCGAAGACAGACTTAACACATGCATATTCAAGATGGGATCTAACAAAAGAACAGTAAAGAATGTTGAGGGTTTTCGAGACATTGAATTGGGGCTTCGGTGGCAACAACACTTGAAGCTAGGAACACACCCAGGTGCTTAAAGCCGGGGACACACTTACCACATGCAACGCTATGCGACGCTACCCGATGCTACCCGACGCAAATCCAAAGTCCATTTTTCCATAAGATTGTATTACCCCCGTGCACACCTCCCCGATGCTATGCAACGCCACTCTACGCTACGCGATCCCCACTGTCCAGATTTTCGTCGGGAACCGGGATTTTTATTCAAAATACATGTATTATTGTCGTTATATTAATTACAACATACTTATTTTATATAAACCAGATTAACCGAGATCAAAAATTCATTAGTTTTTATTTTTTTAAAATTTAATTTTAATGGTTGGGTAGAAAATTGATCAAACACCGGAATATTATTTTTTGATATAATGAATTTAACTAACAATTTATTACACAGTTTTGCTCATAAAATTTAACCATTTTCGTCGAGTAGCGTCAGAACAGGACACTCATATTTCTTTGTAGTTTATTTCAAACTAAGTCGTTATATTAATTAAAACATTTCTATTTTAATGTAAACCAAATTAAACGAGTTCAAATATTCATAAAATTTAACTAACAATTTATTACATGGTTTTGCTCTCTTGAATAGTAACAAAATAAGAACAAAAGAGGCGTTGCGACTGTGATACTGATTTGTGATACACGCTATATGACTGTAGGTGTCGTGCGCTTGACGTCGCATAGATGTTGACACCCTGCCAAAACGTGACAAGGCGTCGGGTAGCATAAGGTAGCGTCGCATAGCGTTGCATCGGGTGTGTTCCCCGCTTTAGGCGTTGACACGGCACTGTAAGGTAAAGGTCCCGGGTTCGATTCCTGCGGCCCTGCATTCGAACCCGACGAAACGATACTTACAAATGGGCTTTTTTCAAAAACACCAAACACCGGCACCCCGAGGGTTGATATGACCTCGAAATTGAAATATTCTCATTTAAAAAAAGGAAAACTAATTAGGGCGGATATGCATGTGCAGAGCCACGGGAAAAACTAACAATAATATTGAATGACTACATGTGTATCAAACAAATCTTCTTTCGATAGTCGTAGATTGGGATGAGAGACTTCTTAAGAAACTCGACCCTGCACAAGAAGACAGGAGTCATACGGTTTAGAGACGGGGTGGGGAAAACCCCCATCTTGCCCTTCGGCCATCAATATATTTAAAAAAAGGAAGAAAGGGTAACAGAACGAATAAAAAGGGAAAAAAATCCGGTCGTCATTTTGGATGAAATCTAATTCAACTGCTTCCTTCCGTCAACAAATCAGGAGTAGAGAGACTTTTTTCCTTTTTCATAAAATAATACAATCATTTTTCAATCAACCTTTGAGAAGTCTGTGATCTCATTACAGCGGTGACTTATTTATTTTTTACAAAAACTAAATCAAGCCGTAGCTGTACTTCCCATTCTTGAAATAAAAAAGAGAAACTTGCAAAATTTACTACGTTATTTCAAAATACTTCTATCGTGTTAATATTAATAATCTTTTAACGATAATATTACAATTAACTGTGTAATTTATAATGTCGTTTATAATTTTTGGAAAGTTATAGTTAAAACAATTTATTGTAAATCGGTTATTATTGACTATAGGAATTCCGCAAACCGTATTACTTTTTGATAGATGGTTGATTTATACAGGTTCGATTCTGCACCCATATGTACATGAATGCACAACCGGAATTTTTTGGGTCAGACCTCGAACTTTTTTTACAGCCCCGAAGTTAGGCTCAAAGGGTATCGACAACAGGGTTGTTACTTCAGCCCGCAACGCATAAGCTTTAATATAAATACATATATTCTTTAAATACATTCTTTCCTATTTACATACGTATCTATATAAGGTCCTTAAAATTTTATTTCACGCGCTAATGAGTTATTTCAAAGCTATTTCAACGTATAATAATTACAATAAAATCTGGAACTATATATTTGGTGAGTGCTTTGTTTTTGGCCTCCATAAAGGTGATTTTTTATTGGTGGGGTGCTTTGGGCCACCTCTGTCGAAGAAGACGCTACCTCCTTGATCTCACGGCTGGTTAGGGGTGCTGGTTGTAATTTCCAATTTAGCAAGGATTTTCAAAATTACTAGTGATAGCGAGCCCCCCCACCCGTTTTGTCACCACTCATACGCAGCGACAGAGTGCCCCTGTCTGTAGTGGTTCCCCGAAATTAATAAATTAGTGGGGTCTCCTCAGTCTATTACATATTTTGCACTTCTTACAAGATTTCTTGTTTCTGAGTGATTTATTCTTAATTCTATTTTCACGTCTTCTCGCAATACAGGACAAAGAGTAGATATATCTTGGTGCCTTCCCCGACAGTTAATGATCTGTGCTGATTGGTTAATTGCATGGTTTCCTTTTCTGTTTTTTTCTGACTTCCGTCTTACGGCCATATGTCCAAATCTATCGCTTTTGAAGCACCTCGTACTGTACGAACATATGGTGGGACTGATTTTTAAAAATCAACCCTCAATTATTTTGGAGGTATTGTCCAACAAAAGTGAGAATAAGAGATGCTGTATTTATCATTCCGTTCAGTGTTCTAGTCTTTATTCGCCTACCCTCAACCACCCCTTGATTCGCAAATTCCTCCTTGATTCTTTCCTCAGTGCGTACTAGTACTATCGATGATATTACTTCCAGGGAGGTGTTTAACTTTGTGTGGAGCTTTACAGTTACTGCAATTTCTTTTCCAAGATAGACTGTCTGCCTCAACATCGTAGCAGGTAGATTATCTCCCATTTCTTTAATCAGTAGACCAACAGCTTCTTTTTAACATTGTCACCGGACCTAAGTGTAGTGGAGTCACTTTTGAAATCGCCTACTTTTTTTAAGATAATCCAAATTCGTGGGAAATTGATCATGCATCATACAACTTACTGTCACCACTCTCCGTCCTCTCATTCTATTTCTATTCTCTGTTCGAACGGATCACTGATGAACTATCTGTTCTGGCCTTCTTGTGTTTCCTACTGATTGGGTGGCATTACTACACCAACAGAATCATGGGGCTGCTGGGCTTGTGTGTGACTCCAGTATTTGTAAATAAATATTTTGTAAAATGTACATTTCTGTTTTAAAATTGTTGGGCAATGTTTTTCTCTTCGTTAGTATATGTTTATATTACATTTATTAGGTTTCGTAGAGCAGCGGCGTATTTAACCGAAGGTCTTGAGTTCGAATCCCGCTTGTGACACTGACTTTTTTAACTCAACCTAAAACCTTAATTAACGATTCATTAATTTAAAATATGTTTATATTGTTGAGTGTTTTTTTTTTTCTATCTAAGCTTTTTATTTAATTTATATAATTGGGGGGGAGTAAAAGTTAATTCGGTGGGTTAGATAGAAGGTCACGAGGCCATCGTCGTTTTAAACGACGCGGAGGATTGTAAGGGCGAGATGTTAAGGAAAGAGTTAGGGCTAGTGGGTTAGGGTGGATGGATAGTTTAAAGTGGAAAGTGAAGAAGCGTGTTCGGATAAGATCTTTCACGAAAGGGATTTTAAGATCTTTATGGATCGTTTGATTTGTGACGTAGAAGGGAGCATTGAGGATACGGCGGAGAACTTTAGATTGAAAAGACTGAATTAGTTGGATATTGGATGATTTCGCCGAGCCCCACAGCTCGACTCCGTAGGTCCAAATAGATCTGATGAGTGTTTTGTAAGCGGTTAGTTTGTTATGTATGCTTAGTTTTGATTTTGGTCCAAGAAGGTGTCTGAGTAGTCCATATCTTTTGTTAAGTTCTATCTAAGCACACTATTTTTTAAAATAAAATAATTGGACAATGTATATAATGCCATTGGATCAGTGATCCGTGTAATAATAATAAAATAAAACCAAAATAAAAAAAAGAAATGATAAAAGGAAGACGTAGTTTTAATTATAAAATGTTAAAACAATAAACTATTTTGTTCATTACTTCTGTTTTTCCCTCATTTAACCCAATAATCCTTACCCGATATACTTTCACATAATTCCTTTATTTATCTGATTGATAACGATCGTTGAAAACAAAAATGAACATAATGTAGGTACAGGGTGTTTATTTTCTGTTTCCCCTATTTATTTTTTTATTGGGGTGTTTTTGATAAAAACACTGAGACACGTAAACATTTATTTTTCTGTCTAGTTTCTTATGAGCCAAGATCGCTTAAAGGGATGAAAAATTAGCTTCTTCCTAATGTAGTGGTGTAAAAGGTTCAAGTTTGTGTCGTTTTCTTGCTGATTGATGAAGAATCGACCGGGATCTTCTTCATAAAAAATACATTACTTTCTGAGGGTACAAACTAGGATGTCGATGGGAACCTGATCCGACCCTTGTTAAGGAATTCGTTCTAATTTGTACCAACCCCTGTATGCGTTGATCACGGAGGGGGGGAGTGGAAGATGTAGACATGCGCTGAACCCTTCCTGACGCTCGAGGCGTCTCTCCATTCATATCCGGGGGAGCCTCGGGGACGACCGAAGACCTCAGTGTTAAAAGGTAAAACAAACAAAAAATAAACGACAAACATGTTGTAAACGTAGAAGACAGACATTAACAACGCACTACCGGACGGTCCTCCCAACGAAGACCGATTCCGTTCTCAGTTTCGCAACTAAAAAAGTGATTCATACATTATTTACCATATTGTTTGTCTTTTTAGAACGATTTGTATAATTTTAATGACACGATATCATCCAACCACATATCTTATTTCATTTCATTCCTTTCTGTTTTCATTCCACCTCTCAATCTATAGGAACATATGTTACAACACTGGCATAATTTTTACAGTTGCGAGAGTGAGCACAACTTTTGGTTCAGTAGTCAAACAGTTTAGCTTTAATTTTAATTCAAACGGTAGCTTTTTAAGTATGAGTCTTTCTTTTGCCAAAATTAAAACTGTTTTTTAGCACAAAAAGCACAAATTGTAAGGAAAAACATGCACGCAATCACGCCAAGGCTGAATATTCAAACGCACAAGAAACGTATGGCATGTGAAATGTATGTCGCACTTTAAGGATAATGGGTTTCGTTCACCTCCATCATAGTCCACAAGTGATAGTCGACATTGCTGTCCATCGTTTGCATCAAAAAACTTAATCTGAAAAGCAATTTATTTCTCGTTATTTCAAATAATAACATTAAACTTAAAATATAGTACGGGCCAACTCTACTTTGCGTAATTACCCCAGACTAATAGGACAATGGCTATTAGGCTAAAATTAGGCTCTGGTCATTGAGAAATTCTGACGATTTTCACGTACAACAACATTTCAATGAACATAGAATGTTTTTACAAACCGCTCATTATTTTACACTATCGATTGCCCAGTAAATTATTTGCGTGTTATATTAAAACGTTTTAGGTTTAAGGTTTAAGAGAAAAATAGAGAACGTAATCCGTAGGATGTTTTAATGTCAGTTTCACAAAGACCAGGTGTACTTGACGTGTTTTCAAAAATAAGGGCGTAAACGTCCTTGGTTCAATATTAATAGTTGTAATGCCAATTGGCGACCTCGAAACCCGCCACGCTCTATAAATTAACAATAATGTAAACGTTTTTGTTTTATTTTTTAACGGTATGTAATAATGTACATTTGAGAAGTATTTTACAGATAAACTGATAAACACCGGTGGAAATGATATTAATCGGCCATTAGTTATTTAATTCCAAGTCTTGCTCATTTATCATTGGCTTTCAATAACAGAAAATGTTAAGGATGTTCGCATATTTGACCATAACAGTCTATTTCCAGATCCGCCATTTCGCCTTCGACCTACATCTCATCGATATTGGTTCTCGTGCGTGTGTAGTCTTTCGTGCTAACCGTTGCAAGAAAATAGTTCCTATTGGAAGGGTGTTTACCTCATACTTAAATTTAAGCGTAGTTTATTTTTTGGACGTTATTTTTCGTTCCTCGTGTTACTCCTGTTATAATTTAAATTTTAATGGTATCATCGTTGGAAGTAAAATGTGTATTTATGTCACATTAAATAGATAATTTCTGTAGTTTTGCAAAACGTGTATATTCAGGGGGGAGTTAACATAATACAATATAATTTGCAACTCTTTACAGGTTTTTTCGCACTTGTACATAACATGTAAATGTAAAGAGAAAGGTATTAACTTCTGAACCCAAGAATATATACGAACTTCCTTTAAGCCTTTTTTTTAAACTTAGTTATTTATTTACGCCTGCGTCAATTGTTGCACTTAAGTAAATTTGATAGCATTTTACAGCTTAAAACAAAACAAAATAAACGCAAAAATATATACAAAACAGAAAAGAGAGAAATTTCTCATTACTAGTCTTAATGTGTTAGCATTAATAGCTTTCACTACTGTTCACTGTCGCTTAGGATGTCGCGAGGCCATTGACGCGTCCGCCGACGGGGAGGATTATGTAGAAGGGTGCGGGATGGAAGGTTTCTGAGATGAGGGTTTATGTGAGTAGATAGTTCCTAACATTTCTTGTAGCGGTTTTTCACTACTTCAAGGGCATATTAGATGTGAAGCGCACCGTGAAATGTAAGATTATATACACAGAAAGGAGCATTGACGATGGTTCGAAGGATTGTAGTTTAGGTTTGGATAGGTTGGAAGTCTTCATGGGTCTCAAAATAGTTACATAATTGAGCCTTTTATTTTTTAAAGTCAGTTTTGATGATGTTATCCAGCAATCTTTTAAAAAGTCCGAATCGTCGTTTAGCGTTTGTATTTTTGAGTCGCGTTTGAGAGTTCAATGTGTGGCAATGCATAGCCCAAGATAGCGGACTACATTAGCTGATGGGAAAGGGACGCCATTGGGAATGGTGGTTATTCCCCGAAGGGTAAAAGTTACACCATTAAGCCTAAAATTCAAATAAAACTAAAATGTAAAACAAATGAAGGTAACTTTATTCTATTAAGAAATATATAACATAAACAAAAATTATAAGTTCACTCATTTATCATAAAATACCTAAATTCTAATGCCCTTAGTACAAAATAATAAATTTTGTTTGCCTTTTCCAAATTATGGACTCTCGTCAGACAACCATATTTTCGTTACATAAGTAGCATGGAGTTAAATGCTTGTTAATGTATCTTCAGTAGCCCTAATTTTAATTCAAAGAAATCAGCTAACACGGAATATCTGCTTTCTTTTTACCCCAAAAATTTCGTTATAAGAAAATCACATTGTTAATGTAGTGACTTCTCAGACTATGATATATCGGGCACCTTAATAAGTAATGTTCACAATTTTCTATTCCAAGAAGGTTACAGGTTGAGCAAATATTTTTTGAATATAGTAATTACATTTAGAGATCATTTTAATTTCTCGGCACCCAGACATTTCAGTTGGACAGTCAACCGTTTCTTAGCCAAATTTATGTTTTTATTAAAGTAGAAATAGCTAGAATAATTTTCGAATCCACGAGTTGTAATTAGAGTTTACAATACTATTGACATCAACTGAATTTTTTTGATTTCTAAGTCTCTCTGAAAGAGCATCCTTCACTTTATATACTGCAAGACATAACTCAGGATTTAGGGTCAAGTCCAACAAGAAGAAAAACATCTGCTACTTTAATCCAACTGGACCTAGGGTTAGTGATCATTCTATTTATAGAATAGGAGAAGGATTTTCTTGTAATTGAGCCGGGAGGTACTTTCAATACAGGTATCCGCCAATTTATCTTTCTTTGAAAAACGCGAAAATAAATTCCAGAGAAAATTCTATTCTAACCATAATTAGGGGCATTTCTTGGAAGATGGGATATTGATAAGAAGGCTTAATTGAACTTTTTTCAATCTCTATCAACTAATCCATCGCACAGAGCACAGCCGAAAGCAAGGCAGATAAAATGACCAGCGAATCGAACAATTTTATCATAGTTTATATGGTATTTATGAGAATTTCTTTTACTTTTCTGCGGGCTTTCTTCCCTTTTGTTAAAGATTCAGCAACTGCTCTTTTGAATTCTCTGCTGAACGTTATACCAAGGTACGTATAAAAAATAACCAGTTTTACATGGCTCCCATTGTAATAAATTCGTTTATTTATTTCGAAGAGTTTTTGAATAAAATAATTTTTTCCATTAACAGTAAGACAAGTTATAATACTAAGGAACACATTTAGTACATATTGTATTTCTACACAAGAATTATCAAAAAATACGTCATCGTCATCAAACAGAATGGAGATAATATCCGTATGTTGTATTACACCCGTTATATTGCGTTCCTTAAAGATCAACAAAAACGGCCAGGAATATTGTAAAGAGGAAAGAGGATAGCAATTCTCCTTGTAAAACACCCTTGTTAATTGGAATATTGTTTTGACAACCAATCAAAGCAACAGTCCTCATACTGTTTGCTCAAGAGTCTTAGGATTTTGCCACTGACGCCAAGTTTTTATAACTTGTCCCAAAGAAGACAATTTACCTCACACTGTCCAATGCCTTACGACGATCACAAAGATTGCACAATTTTTTGGCCTCTATTGGCCGGCTAAATTATTGAGAATAAAGAGGTTGACAAGGCAGATTTCATTTTTTAGAATGCCTGTTTGATCCTCCGGAATTATATTATTGTATCTCAAAGGATGGAAGTGACAATTTTAGAGCAGAATGTTGAAAGAGTGCTATACTTCTGTAAATATCTAGATAACTTTTGTCGTCTTTTTTAGGTCATAAAGTCAATAAAAATAAGGATTTTGTGTAGGCATTTCTTCTGTCTCGAATAGGGTCTTCATAATATTAAGAAAGTAATGCAATTTGAAGACAGAACATTTAAGAAATCGTGTAGGATGTTTTCTTTGCCAGGACTTTTGTTATTCTTCGTTATGGCAAACTATTTTGAAGTTCATTCAATATGATGGGACTCCCTAGCGGAAAATCGCCTACATTCTGAAAAAAGAAAGTGATTTGACTCTTCCGCGATACATTTCTGAGAAATAACTTTGCCAAACGTCAAGCTATTATACTATTTTCTTGAGCTGGCCTAGGGGTATATTTTTTTTTAGGCGTACATTTTTTTACAATGTCCCAAAACTGTTTTTAGCCTCCTACCCTTAATATTACCTTGGTGAGTTTGGTTAAGTATTTTTAATTGAATGGTTGTATTGTTTCCTCAGCTCACAGTAATCATTGATGAAGATGGAGTCATAATCAGTCTCGTTATTTTAAGTTAGTCTGAACTACTTTTTAAAGATTGTTAGTACCATCAGAAATGTTATTCTGTGATTCCAAGTTTTCAAACGTATTTACAAACGTCCATTACCTTGCTTTTTCTATGAAGTCACATCAACATCACACTACATCATCACCTGAAATATAATATAAATCAAAGTACCACGGTATAACTGTTTCCTTAATAGTTTTCATGAGGTCCAACTCCAGTGAAGTCCACCTTATGATAAATGTTGTAGCGTAATTTCATATAAATTAATTGATATTTAAGAGGAATTTGTTGTTTTCCGATGTAAAAAACCAAAAGCATGCTTGCCATTTT